AGGCTGCTGCTGCCCTCAAATCTAAAGGCTGCTGCTGCCCTCAAATCTATAGGCTGCTGCCACCCTCCCCAAATCTATGGGCTGCTGCCCCCCTCCCTAAATCTATGGGCTGCTGCCCCAAATCCAATCTGCTGCTGCCCCCACCCCAGGTCTATAGGCTGCTGCCCACCTCTCAAACCCCCATCCTCCACTTACCTGATCTGTAGGCTGTCTCTGGCTGCATGTGTTGTTCCCCTGCGGTTTCAATCAGCAGAGAGAAGCAGGGATAAGATGCAGCTTCCTATCCCTGTCTCTCTCCATACACAGCGCCACCTACTGTCCGGCGCCGGTATTGCAGTTCATTTTAAATCTCACACGAAAAATATCAGAACAGGCTGAAAAATCCAGGGGGGGGCAAGTGTCCCCCCTAGCCCCCCCCTGCGGACGCCCATGTTTGTGCAATATGCATGTCTGCAAACAATGCAAGCAGTACTGCTTTAAGATTAGATCAGAGCACCTGGCAACTGGACAGGAAAGTCAAATTTTGGCAGGAAGTCCATTATTGCAACAGAATTTTGGAAATCAGCTAAAATTTACAAAAACAGACTCCCTCTTTTTTTCTTTCTTAAGACTACAACTCATATTGCTCTTGGACTAGTATTCTCTAATAAATCAGTTGTTTAATAGATTATTACGCTGCCATTTTCATCTGTATCAATACTAAGACAAACTTATTCAAATATAATTTAAAATAACACAGCAAAATACCCATTAACATACATGACAATTAAACTGCGCACTTCAAAATGAGTAACCAAAACAAACATTTATGACAATCATCATTCACACAGAATAAACTTCTAACAGCTGTATTCAGAACATATTATTGTAAGGTATACCAATTTTAGTTTGTATTGGATTTATTTAAGATTTCTGGTACCAAAGGGTTTATTTTTTATTTTTTACAGAAGGGATCCCGTACGGCCATATAACGCGTTTGACTTAAACATTTGTATAACACTTGCATTAACCAGTTGCAACATATGTACCCTGTCAATGGAATTTCTCTCTTATACGCTTATAGAACATTTGGACCAGATTACACAGACATGGTATCACCTGCATTTGTCAGAACTCTCAAAGACTCAAAATATTTATACTACTCCATGTTAAAGGCATGGCAAAACTTTGACCGGTCAATTTGAGTTTCCAAAAGTCATATCAACACAGGTAAAAACCTTTGTCCATGGTTTTCTGATCCTACATTCCATGACCAAAATTTCAAACCCACTTCTTCACAGTTTGGGTCGCAAGCAATAAAATCTCAGCAACCCCATACAATAATTTACAGAATACATACAATTTAAAGCACATACAACATGTGACGTACTGGAATACTACAAGTTAGCTTACAGCACAATATGAAGCATGTGTTGGAACGCTGAAAATATACATTTTGCTCTCTAATTCATAATCATCTAAATTTACAACATAAGTTCTCTGCAACAAACACTCAGGGCAGAAAGAATGTGGTGTTTGACGTTTTGAATGAAGTGACTTTTTGTCCCAATATGAAAATAAAGGGCTCATCATATAAACAATCATACATCCCACTCTCATGAAAAAGTGTAGTGGGCTTATAGTACTTTTGACCAAGTATAAAAATAAGGGGCTCATTATGCAAACAAACATACATGCAGAGAAATCATGTTAGTTCTAGAATTTGTAGCCCCCCTTAAATAACCTCTAGTTTTTTCTTATTCATCATCACCTTTACATGTACTTTTTACATTTCCTCAATTAAGACTTTATGCTTAAAATCAGCGTTGCACATCATAAAATAGCACATAAATTAGCAAGCCGGAGTAATGCCAAACATCCATCATACCTTTTAACCCCCCTTTTTTTTTTTTTTTTAAACCATTGTAGTCTGCAAAATTGACATCTACGTTAAATAAATACCACAGTCCACCAAAGACTGGAAATCTGTTTTATAACCTACCAAAGGCAACCTCTACCAAAGAGGGATCTAGGGACGTCTCCCATATGTAAGTGTACATCACAGGTACATCACAGCCTACCAAAGGCTTGAAATTATTTTTAACACCTGGCCAAAGGTGAACCTCTTACCAAAGAGGAAATGTGCACAATAACTACTACTACCTACCAAAGGCAATCCTCCAACCCGTGGAGTAATAGAAGTCTACCTAAGACTTAACAAAATACCATGTCTACCAAAGACATTATCCTGTGAAAATCCCCTTTAAAAATGTAAATAGTGAAAAACCCCATTAAAACAAGAAATGCAATGTGTGGGAGGATGGCAGAAGCAGGCAAAGGTCCCCAACCCCTTAAGGACACACGACAGAAATACTCCGTCATGATACCCTTAAATTCCAGAAGTTGTGTCCCCAAGGGGCTAAAGACCCCCTTACCTGCAACTCCGTTCCTAATTGCACCCAAACTTCTGACACCAATTTGTTGGGGATAAAATCAGCCTGGCCCTTTGTGGATGATGGATATTTGCCAACTCATACAGAGCTCTGGAAATTGGAAATGAATAGCAGAGACGTGTTCAATAACCAATTCCAAATTTATTCTTGATTCAAATTAACCCTTACATGAACAGTTAGGATATAGAGCAAAATGGATATTCATATCCTACATCGAATACTTGATATCAAAGGAAACAAAAGAACCTGGTGATCAATGGGAACCAACATGGTAGAGACAAACCATCTGGTGTTACCATAATTAGCTAAAAAATACAATGGGACAAATCAAGTAGTAACTGTATCGTTACCACTTAAAGTGACAGGGTGTCTGAAAAATTGAGTATACTAATAAAAAATGAATAAATGGTATTGACTGTCATAAAAAATAAGTAAAATAGGAATATTGGATTCCTAGAAATAAAATTATATGTATAAAATAAATGGGGAATACTTGGTAGTCGAATGACACCTATGCGGTTAGGACAAATCATCTGGTGTAACCCCAACTGTAAAATGGGACAGGTCCTGTAGTAAGTGCATCACTATTATTAAAATAATAGAATATCTAAAAATATATTTAAAAATATATTTAAAAAAAAAATTTTAAAAATATTTTTTTTTTAAATATTATTTTCAAAAA